GAATTCACAGCATCAAATAACAGAAGGTAGAAGAGAAAATAAAAGAGGAGGAGGAGGGGAAACAGTTAAATAATGTATTTTTTCCTCTTCCACATAACACTTTGCACATCAATACATGTAAACCAATCATTTTCCATTCAAATGAGTCCTCTATTTCATTCCTTGCTTTATGTTTTTTCTTGGTTTTGTTTTTTTGAGACAAGTTCTCACTATGTAGTTTGGGCTGGCCTGGAATTTGCAGCAATCCTTCCAAATGCTGGGATTACAGGTGTGTGCCACCATGCCTGGCTTCTTGCTTATTTTATTTATTTATTATTATTATCATTTTACTTGTTTGTTTGTTTGTTTGTTTGAGACAGGGTCTCGCTTTGTAGTTCAGGCTGGCCCTGAACTCATTATGTTGCCCAGGCTGGCCTTGAATATGCAGCGATCCTCCTGCCTCAGCCTCCCAAGTGCTGGGATTACAGGCGTGTGCCACCACACCCACCTCCTTGTTTTATTTTAAAATTATTATTTCATTTACCATTGAGAAGTTGTCACTGATAGACCAATCTTTATTTTTCTGCTTTATTTTAAAATTATTCTTTTATTTATGATCAAGAAACCGAGTCACCAAATCAGTTCAGTTGTTGGCAGTAGTAAAACAAGCATGCTGGTTTCCCTTCCTACAACCCTACACAATCACTTTTTCTTTTCCTATACAATCACTTTAACATGCCCAGCACACGTGTCTTTTCTCCTCCTTGTCTTGTTCCTCTCCTTTTTCTGTCCTTTCCTTTCTCTTCTTTCCCCCTCACGGTGCATAAAGTAGTTTCTGTGCCTTTAAAACCTGGTTCTCTCTCTCTCTCTCAATCTCTCTCTCTCTCTCTCTCTCTCTCTCTCTCTCCCTTTCTTTACCACGGTTCAAACTTCCAATGGTGAGGCAGGCAGCAGCACCACTGAACTAAATCCCCAGCCCTCACCTTGAATTTTTCTTCCTGCAATTCAGTCTCAGTCATGAAACCATAGTTAGGAAATCAATTTATTTCTGTGAGAAATCTCATTTCAACTCTTATTTTTAATGTTTCCTCATCCAAGAAAGATTGGTTGGGAGAGATAACCAATATAACACAAACATTTGAAAGACTTATTCAGAGGGCTAAAAACACATGTGAATCCATCCACACAGAATCTTTCTCTTTACCCCTGTCCTTCAGATCCCTTGGACTACTTTGCTTCATGAAATTCAGGCCTCTGTTCCACAGCATTCACTCAGCAGAGTCGGAGAGTTGAGACAAGACCTAGGAGCCATTTCAGTAGGGTTGCTGTAATGTCTAGTTTTTTGTTTTGTTTTACTGGGGATCCAGCTCAGGACCTTGTGTTTGCAAGGTAGGCATGGCAGAACCACTAGGCTAAAGCCCTGGCCCAATGTCTAGTTTTTTTGATCTTCACTGTGTGACTTAATGAAAATCTACTTATTACACTTATATAAATAATTTAACTGATGCAGAGTCTTTTTAGCAGCAAGATCTCTCTACTAGGTATTTCCATTTAAGCTTTCAACTACTTCTAATTATAATGTATGTTTCTTTTTTTAAAAGATATCCAGTATATCAATTCAGGTGGTCAGTGTCCCTGGGAGGCTACCTGGGAGAAGACTACCTCGAAAACCCATTGGCAAAGCCAGACCCAAGAAGCAATCCACGAAGAGAGCTCCCTTTTGGAACTTTCAAAACAAGATCATTCTCTTCACAGTGTTTTTATTCATCCTAGCCGTCATAGCTTGGACACTACTTTGGCTCTATATCAGTAAGTTAAAATCCATCTTCCCTTGGGACTACAGCTTGGGCTTGTGAGTCCTGCAGCAGTCATGCCCGGGGGTCTGATGGAATTGTCCTCTTTCCCACATAGACACACACTGTTTCCAAAGTTGGTAGTGAGACTTTCAGGAGCAAGAAATCAAGATTGTCTCCCTCCTTTCTTCTTTTACCATGATCACGTTCTTCCATAGACCAGAGGGGGAGAGATGGCATATAAGACGGGAAGAGCTGAGGAGGATGCTCAGGAGATTTTGACTAGTTCAGAAATCTAACACATTTATAGCTTTAAAAAATAATGGAATGGTAAGCTGCTTCATTTCCTCATTCCGCCCACAGCCTGTTTCTAGGCAACCTTAAATTCCTGGCTCCCTGAGCTCCAGTTCACAGAAGCATCTTCCTCTCCTCGGTAGTTGTTTTTGTCATCTAATTGATCCTTTGGACAGACGAGATACCTAAGCTCTTTCTTACATATGCAACTCAGGAACTACAGCCCTCACTGACTTATGTTGGAGTCTTCACTCTGTACATGCTAGTATATCTGATATAACATACATGTACTGTGATATTATAAAATACATGTATTTGGCATGCTTGGTCTGTGTCCTTGGTTTCTGACACAAGGGTTCTAACCTTCTTGTAAATTTCTGAGTGATAGGTCTGATAGGAGCATCTTGTGCTGTAACACTTAATCTTAGGCTCCAGTTCTTTTTACAAAGAGCTTCTAAGGGTGTCCTTTGTATGTTCACGATATGATTGGTGGCTGAACAGCCCCGGAAAGCTGGAAGAACCAACCACGTGACAAAACTTTTAGCCTCCTCACTTCTTGGAGACGGAGTGGAGTGGGAGAACTCTGCTGGAGATTGAACTCAGTTCATGTCTACATAATGGAACTGCTCTAGAAACCCTAATGGTTATGGTTTAGAGAGCTTTGGGGCCCTTGAAAATACCTACTTGCTGGGAGGGTGGCATGCCCCAGCTCCACTGGGACAGAGATGCCTGTGCTTGGCTGCTGTGTCTCGTCATCTGGCTATTGATTTGCACTCTTTATAATATCCTTCCTAGTAAACCAGTCGTAGTGAAGTTTTTCTTGAGTTCTGGAACCATTGCAGCAAATTATCACATATGAAGGGGGCATGGAAATACCTAATTTGCAGTGCATACTGTACGCAGTTTAGAGACCTCTATTTGTGATTGGAATCTGAAGCCGGAAGGGTATTGTGGGGCTGAGTCCTTAATCTGATTAGCTAGTGCCAGCACTAAGTTGAATTGTTAGCTACCCAATTGGCGTCTGTAGAGAATTGAAGAATTGCTTGGTGTGAGGGGGAAAAAAATCTCCAAACATTTGAAATTGGAAGTCTTTTGAGTAGAAAACCAGTTTCCTAGGTATATTCTCAAAGATATTAAAATCTGATTATAAAGCAAAATTTAAAGGCAAAGAGTTAATGAATAATCTCAAACAGTTTAGGTCACTTATATACAAATTGATCCTGTATAATTTAATTGGTGCAGTGTAGTTCCTCACGCTACCTTCAGAATTCACAGATGCATTTATTGCTGTTAGAAAGCTCTCAGTTCAGTACTGGAGTGTGAGATGTTTATTTTGCTCAAGTGATTATTTTGTGATCACAGAAGACAGACATCCAACCTGCCTAGGAATGGAGTCCAGAAAAACAGTTCCTTCCCCTGTGCTCCCTACCCCTCCACAGCCTCACTGTTCTGCTCAGGGTCAAAATGACTATGGTTGGATCCTACGACGGAGGCTGCTTCCTGTTACCCATGAAGATTGTGTCTCCGTCTCCGTCTCTGTACCCATCCCTGCCTCCTCCTCCTCCTCCTCCTCCTCCTCC